AAATAAATAAAACGAAAACATCATGTCACTTAAATCATTAGGACTCGGCCATTTGCCACCGTTTTTTTTTTCCACCGAATGTAACCAAACGGCCCTAAACAAATCCAAAAACGGCAGTCGCAAAACGACAGGTGGGAGGCGCATTTTAAGCGCTGAAATCGATCGTAGTCCTTCCGCCCATTTCTCCCCCACTATTATTAAGGCACCGTATTTATACCCTACAGCTTCTCTCTAGCTTAAGCCTTGAGTTCCATGTGCTTAATACTTGGTGGAGGTCAGTTCAGGACTCAGAAGGAAGATGGAGTAGTAGAGTGTTCCCTGTAGAACAATGGCGAAAAGGATCAAGGAAGAGACTTGGACCGTTGCTGACGCAACCACATTCCCTAAACCACGTCACCGTCGACCCCTTGATTACTGACCTTTCGCTGCTGCTCCTGCCCCCCCTTTCACCCCCCACTCGCGTGCCTCTGTCAGATCTCTTTTTCCCTCTCTAAAAAATACCACTGTCTTGTTCTGTAACTTCAAGTTCAATTTTTTTTTTTTTTATTTCTATAATTCTCTCTAGTCTAATCGTCTTTATCCCGTCTGGTCCTTTCTCGTTCCATTTCTCTCTCTCTCTAGCTCGGGATTTCGTTTCCTCTCCCTGGATTTGTCCAGTATCTTTGGCTGTTTCTGTTTCTCTTTATGGTTCTGGTTCTGGCTCTCCGTATTTCTTAAAGAGAACAGAAGCTGAGGGTGCAACGACGATGATGTGTGGTTTCTGGAACTTGAAGAAAGAATATTGAGTAAGAGTTCTTTCTTCTTCATCTCCAAGTCCTTTTTACTTTGATGTAATCCTGAAAGCATTTTGTTTTCTAATGTATTTGCCTGCTCTGTTCTTTTTCCGGCTGTCTTTGCCGGAAAAGTTAGGGACTGTGATTTTTTTTTTTTTTTTTTTTTTTTTTTGGTTTTTATAATAATGAAAAAGGAGTTCTAGTCGGCTAAACTTAACTCCGTCCGGCTGCCTTTGCGGGAAGGTTGGTCTCTTTCTACATTTGCTGAGTAGCCAAACAGTGAATTAGCTTGTGGTTTCACTAGTAAAGAACTCCATTTTTTCTTTCTTCTTTTTAGCAGAAAATGATTTCGAGTTTTCTTGTTTTGGGAATAGAAATTAGTTGACTTTTATTCTTGGAAATAATTAATTTCACAGGCCATACTCATTCTTGATGCTATTAACAAATCCCTTGGGACTTCTGACAATTAAATATCTTTAGAGAAAAGAGAAAATCAAGAAGGCTTAGTAGAGAAAATGTTAAGGACGTCTAATAATAGCAACATGTAAAATTTGTTAAAATTAGGATCCATATTATGTTCTAAATATTAGATGGCTGTAACTGGATGTTTTAACCCTTTTAATGTTAGCTAGTTCTAATTTTTCCGTTTCTCATATTGTTAATAAATTAACATTAATTAAAGGTATCGGAACAATTTTACAAGCAGTTCTAGCTTTTAAATGCTAGGATGCCTTGGTTTTTTACTCTTTTTTCTGATTTCCGATATATGTATATATATTTATGTAGTATCTCTTTGTTGCCGTTAACATAACATACATGGTTCTTTGTTGAAGTTGTTTCTAAATAACTGGTCTGGTCATCATGGGAATGGTTGTATTGGTTTACAATTTAGAATGGCAGAACTGCAGTATCTTGTACAGACATTGTTTTCAGTGATGTTTCATTTTCTCTTTTCAATTATAATGTCCTCTCTTTGTCATTTGTGTGCATTGTTTGTTAGTGTTAGGAGTGATGAATTCTGTGTACTTTGCTGTATAATGAATGCCAGCTCGTGCCATAATATAGAAACATTGATCAAGACATGTGTTTAACAGCTTTACAGGCTTCTCACTTTTCATTATGATGATAATTGGATAGACAACTCCTAATTAACTACTAAAAATTTGGTCTTTTCTAATTTTACACTCTAACAGAGATTAGCTTCATTCCAAACTTGACAGTTGAAAGTAATGCAGAGTTGGTAGTTTTGTGTATTAATGCAGCTTCTCTTGGTTTTTGGTTTTAAGGTTATAATTGAAATTCTGATGTCATTTTTAAATCTGTTGTCCTATTTGTTTCTGCTATTAGACGTAAGTGGATGCTTGATTTGTGTAATGGTGATCCCGCTATCACTATGGGTGCAAATTGTTAAACAGTATTGGGTGAGAAATAGATGACGTTTGATAGTATGAGATTTTGAATATCATTATATCAGTTTATTTTTCTTTAGAACTCCACGACCATAATGCATCATATTTATAAAATTATTTTGTCATTTTATAGGCAAACAGATTGAAGCATAAGGTGGGAGGTTATGAAAATGCATGAGGATCAGTGTAGAGTACATAGCTATTATGCATCATGAACTTGGTGGCTGTTGCTCCAGTTGCTTGTCTTAATAACTTAGTTGTTTTCATCTTTTCCTAAAGGAGCCTTTAGCATTCTGGATGAACAGTGAGTTTGTTCTATTAAATTTTATAAAGTTTGTCCTTTATTAATCATGCTATTTTGTACCTCTGTGGAGTCCCACTGTCTGATGGGCTTTATTTATTGCTATTAGTTCTCATTTTGGTTATATTGCTGCCTATTAGTTTCTTTTTTCCATATTATTGCCTGCTAGCTCAAAGTTGAACTAGAGTGACAGTTCAGTTTTTTATAATCATGCAGGTACATTATGAGAAGCTTAAGGCAATGGGCAGCAGTATCTGCACCAGGAAATGAAAGAGAGGCAGCGTTGGACGACTGAAGAGGATGCTTTGTTACGTGCATATGTGGAGCAGTATGGGCCAAGGGAGTGGAACCTTGTGTCACAGCGCATGAACACACCCCTAAACAGGGATGCAAAATCTTGCTTAGAAAGGTGGAAAAACTACCTCAAACCTGGTATTAAGAAGGGTTCTCTTACTGAAGAGGAGCAACGTCTTGTCATTCGTCTTCAAGCCAAACACGGTAACAAGTGGAAGAAAATTGCAGCTGAAGTCCCAGGTAGAACTGCTAAGAGACTGGGCAAGTGGTGGGAAGTGTTTAAAGAGAAGCAGCAAAGGGAACAAAAGAACAATAAGACAGTAGATCCAATTGAGGGCAAGTACGATAGAATTTTAGAGACATTTGCAGAGAAATTAGTTAAAGAACGACCTAACTCAGCTCTTGCCATGGCTACTTCCAATGGAGGCTTTCTTCATACTGACCCACCTCCACCTGCCCCAACTCTGCTTCCACCTTGGCTCTCGAATACCAGTAATGCTGCTGCTGTCAGGCCACCATCCCCATCTGTAACTCTAAGCCTTTCTCCATCAACTGTAGCAGCTACTCCTCCAATCCCATGGCTGCAGCCTGAGAGGCCTCCTGAAAATAGTCCCCTTGTTTTAGGAAACATGATGCCTCATGGATCAGTTCCTACTTGTGGTGACAACCTTCTGATAGCAGAGCTGATAGAGTGCTGCAAGGAGTTAGAAGAAGGGCACCATGCTTGGGTTGCACATAAGAAAGAAGCATCCTGGAGATTAAGAAGGGTAGAGTTACAGCTGGAATCAGAGAAAGCGTGCCGAAGGAGGGAGAAAATGGAGGAAATAGAATCAAAGGTCAAGGCTCTTAAAGAAGAACAGAAGGAAGCTCTTGACAGAATTGAAGCAGAATATAGAGAGCAGTTAGCAGGGCTGAGAAGGGATGCTGAATCCAAGGAACAAAAATTGGCTGAGCAATGGACTGCAAAACATCTACGTCTTACCAAGTTTCTTGAACAGATGGGGTGCAGGTCCAGGATTCCTGAGCCTAATGGCCGGTGAGAATCATGTTCTCGTATCTTTTGATCATCTGTGCATTTTCTTCCCATATACTATCATAGATCTCTTATTTTCACCGTCTACTAGTTGCTTGAACTTGACTGAATGTAAAGTAACATTAGCTGAACTTGCTCTATCTTGCATTCAGCTTTTTAAATTATATCTAGTCCTTTTGGATTGAGAAGTGTGTGATAATTTAACAGGCAATGGCCTTGGACCTACTTGATGAGAACGCTGCCCATGCACTGAGGCATAATGCTAATAAAAGTAGAAGCAAAATGCATTTATTAAGAGCTGAAATGTTTGTATGTTGATGTATCATGAAATATCCATTTTGGCAGGCTAATGAAATTCCATGAATATCTTTCTCAAGTTAATGGGCATAATTATATTCTCAGAAGTTGCATTGTGGCTTTGATTATTTCAAAAGAGGAATTGACTGATTGCTGGCATGCCCGGGCTGTGCTCGCATTTTGTTGCTGACCAAAAAAAAAAAAAAGAACGAGGCATGCATATATGTGCAAATTATCAACTAGATTCTGCAAATCATCTTCCATTGTGCTTGCAGAGTGGAAGCATGAGCCGTTCTCTCTTCTTGCTAGGCAAAGAGCGTTGGGCTTTGGGTATAGAAAAGGCATCCATGACTATTCTTAGTACTGCATGTGACTCCATAAGAGAGTATGAAAAGACAACTAAGTAAGAGCATATTTGGTGAAACTTGTAAGTGTTTTAGTATTTTAATATTATTTATATTTCATAAGTTAAAATTTTTTCTTTAAATTTTTTAAAAAAAAATTTTTTTCCCTTAAAAAACCTTAAACAATGAATTTTGGAAATTTTTAAACTTTTGTTTTTTATAAAAAAAATTTTATTCACTTTTTATTATTTTTAAAAGTAAATTTTAAAATTTTCTTCTAATAAAAATTTAAATTTATGATTTATAAACAGTATTAAAAAAAAAAGAGAGTAAAATTTCTAATAAACTCTATCAAACAGCCTTAAAGATGAAACAAATTATCTTGTGAGTGGTAATTTTTCTTTTGAGTAGCTTAAAATATCTTAAATTTAATTCGTATGTGTGCGAGTGGGGTATGTAAAGAAAAGTCGGAGAAGTTGTTTCTAACTGCGGAATTTAAAATAAAAAAATAATAAATAGAGCAATGATTATTGTAGTGTTTGGACAAAATGCCATGGGAAATGGTACAAGTAAGGATATGAACCTCACTAGTTTAGTTACTAACAAATTAACATACAATAGTAAATGGCAGGAAACTATGAGTATAAGTAAATATTGTATTTATATAATAAAAATAGTAGTTGTTTGTTTTATCTCTTAAAATTTAAAAGAAAAATAATTTTAAAATTATATTATTTTAATAATTTTTATTAAAAATATTAAAATATTTTATGTTTAAAATATGAATGAGATTTTTTAAATTTCTTTTGGTGATATATTGTTAAATGATTTAATTTGAAAATAATTATATTTTTAATTTTTGAAAAATAAAGTGCATAAACACCAATCCTCTATATAATATTATTAAATCGTAACAATAATAAGCAATGTAGTAATCACATGATTTAATATAGGAAAGTTACATGTTAATTACTTAAATAGTTTAGTTATAATTTTTTTTTTTGTTGGAAGTAAAAAATTTTAAGTTGTATGAGATGCTAATGAGGTGAACTAAGAGATAGAAAATGGTTATTATTATTATTATTATTATTATTTAATCAAAATAAAAAAATATGATAAGATTATTTGTATTTTTATGGTATAAATTCAATCTTTTAGTTTATACATATAAAAAATATTTATTTTTAAAATAGGGAAGTTGGGCCTGCCGTAATTGGGCATTTTCTTAGTATTTTAGTGGTGTTAAATTTCTAATTACTTAGAAGTCTTATAATTCGTTGCATTGCTAAATAAGGAAGGAAACTTCTCCGATGTACTAATCAAGGATCTCAACTTTGTAAAATTTACTAATCAAGGATAAAGTGGAAGGAAAGTTAAGGAGGCCATTTAACACCGTTTAGTGGATTCCATAATAATAAATGTAGACATGGATAATATACAAAGGAAAATGATTTTTGAATAATCTTTTTGTATAATTTTTTAATACAACTTGATGTATCATTTAAATAATTGGTTCTTTTTATTCATATGAGACTTATAATATTGAATACATTCATTCATTTAATAATATGTAAAAGTTGTATTAAAAAGTGATATAAAAAAATTATCAATAGTATATATACAAAAAGGAATAGCTGACTTGGACATTAAGAAATACATTAAGAAATAATGACGTGGACAAATATTCAAATAATAATAAAGCTAATTGTATCATTTATCTAAAAATAATTAAAATTAAATAAAAAAAATTCTTCAACTCCTTCCTTCTTCGTATTCCTTCCGTTACGGTTTCCCCTTATTTAATTGGGGAGAAGAACAATGAGGAAAGGAAGGAAAAAGATGAGGAAGAAGATGAAGAATTTTGGGTTTAATTTTAATTATTTTTAATTTAATAATAAAGCTGGCTTTATTTTCTTTTCGAATGTTTGTCCGCATCATTATTTGTTAGTGTCCATTTCAGCCCTTCCTTTTGTATTTTGTCCATGTTAGGATTAATTACGGGGGTTGTTGATATAGGGGCAACTTTTTTGTACTATCTTTTTATACAACCTTTCATGTCATTAAATGAGTGGATATATTCAATATTATAAGTTTTAAATGAATAAAAAAAATCAATAATTTAAATAACACGCAAGATTGTATAAAAAGATAATACAAAAAAGTTATCCTTAAATCATTTTTCTTATTGTGAGTCCACTAACAGTGTTAAATGGCCATGTCAGCATACCATCCACTTTATCCTTAGTATATTTTACAAAGTTGAAATCCTTAATTAATACACTAGGAAAGTTGACATACTTAATAAGTAATGAAAAAAAGTTAAAATGCTTAATTAGTAGAAGTATCAAAGTTTAAATGCTTATCATATTATTTCTCAAATACTATTCAATGCACCTAAATTTAATTGGATTTTGCAATATCTAAGCAATCCATACTCATATAGAAAGTTAATAATGATTGAGATTTTTTGCCTTTTTTGCCATAAGGCTTGATTTTATGCTTAATTTGGCTTAACTTTCCTTGTTTTTCAAAGAATTCATCTAAACCAAGAATGCCTTCAAAACAAATATATATAGCAACAGAAACACCATGATTCAATCCATCCATAATTCATTTGAGTTTTTCTACAAGAAAATATTAAGGAGGGTCATTGTTGGGCTTCTTCCCATTGTTCCCACAAAGAAAGTTATATGGATCATCCAAGCTTTCACCTGTCTCGATGTGGTCAATCAATTGATTCTTATCATCAAAAACATAATTAGCTCCATAGAGAAATCAATGTCGTTCATTTCTATTGAAAATGCGACATTGATTATTGACAACTGCAGCAGAGCCATCAGCAAGCATAGGAAGATCCAGCTCCTTAACTGGCGCAGAGTCAATGACACCGATCTCCACATTCGGTGGGAGAACAGAATCGGTTTCCTCTGCATTAGCCTCACAACCTATGCTTTCAATTTTCCTTTTCAACATTTTGTGAAATGGCTTACAAGGTGGTGATAGGTGTGAAGAGTTGCCTTCCCCTATCTGAGGTTGGTTTCTAGTGTTAAAGTGGAGCTCTTGCTCCATTTTACCTTTTCCTAGTTCAACACTGAGATCTAGATCCATGTTCCACCTACCTTTGCCATTGTGAACTTGTAGCTCCTGAAAAATTGTGAAAAACTAATTAACAATTTGTTTTTCACAATTCATTAACGGAGAAGAAAGAACTCATTGCTACTTAGCTGATTCATAGGAACAACATCTTCCTTCAAACCTTTCCCTTTGGTAGGGTATTCCTCCCTCAATATGAATCTTGATATCTCGATGATGGATCAAAAAAACCCCACAAGATGTCTCATGGTGATAGTGCTATACAAAATATGTTATCATCTTATAGATTTAATTAAATTTTTTAATAAAAATGAATTATAGCATTTTTTGTATTTTATATTTGTAGAACAAAAATAATATACTTACAATGTTATATAAGATTGTAAACCTACAATCAAGATATATCATTATATGATGGACTGCTTTTATTCAGAAGTCCACCATTATGTTGTATATATTGCTTATTTATTGACATATCATAATTGTAAATTTACAATTTTATATGATATTGTAATTATATCACTATCATTTGTAGAATTATTAACTATTTTAATAACAAAAAAGATCAAGATATCCTATCATTAAAAACGTAAAGTTTAATCTTAACCACATGATAAATGTGACTTAGGTTAGGCATATATTATGTCTCACTTATCAAATGATTTTGATTGGACATTCTAATATTTTTTAATGTTAAGGCATCTTGACTTTTTATATCTCTTTTTAATAATATGTTATGTGAAAAAAAAAAAAAACTGTGAAAAAACAATCATAAACGCAACCTTAATTAATCAAGTAATTAACCAAAGTAAAAAATTAGTCAAAATAGTTACTCATATTATTGAATCAAATATTTTATTAATTCTTTGCTTACGCTCAATGAGCCATCCATTTAGTCTGTAAGACAAAATATATCATATATGTCCCACTCCATTTCTGCAAAAATAAAAGTCATATATAAATGGATGTGATCTCAATACACCTTTTTGGAGACGAAACATAACACGAAAACATAATCTTAATTATCTTAGCATATCGATATGTCCCTAAATATAATCTCAATGAAAAACACTAATTATGTACTTACGGTTACAAAATTGTTGACCATTTGCATCAGTGAATCAAGGAGATGATTGAAAGAAGTGCGTTTTTTGCCAACCAAACATGCCTTATTCCTTTGTTTCATCTATATCTTCGATTTTCCCTTCCCTTTCAGAATTGATTCCCTTAACTACAATGTAAAACCTAGACATATAAATATTAGAAACAAAAAAATGAATTGTAGTCCGGCTTGTGTGGGTGACAAACAGCATTAATTATCATATTAGAATTTGACAAGAAAATGTAAGAAAACTAAGTATATTTCATATAAATGCTTCATTTGGATTAATATTGGTTATTACCTCTAGACTTAGTGCATCAAAATCAGTTATCAGGTACTGTGAAGTTTAATGGAGCACGATTCAGCACTTCATTTGGCTCTTCGTCACCATTTCCAACTGCCTCTTCTTTTCCATCAATATTCTCATCTTCCTTACCATTTTGCTCTTGTTGCGCCGTTTCATCAAGGTCCTCTCTCTACATTTTCAGCTCATTTTCCTCCATTTACACATTTTGTGCTCTACGTCTCCCCATCAAGGTAGCAATTGCTTTCTATAATGCATAAAAAGACATCAACAAGTTAGACGAAATTGCAAAAACAATATTCAGTGCATCATGACTATTCAAACTCAAAAGGGTCGAGTAAGAAATATTACATTGATAGTAGGTTTTAATGCTCTGTCTATAGTATGTCATCTACTGATTGTTTCTTCTCTAGTAGTATCCTTTATTGTTCGTCTTGAGGCTGGAGAAACGCCAGGGACATCAGCTCTCCATGGTATTGTGTTGGAAGTTGGAACTACCGGACATTTCTGATGTCCTTTGTTTTGATTTGTATGGACTCGGCGCTGGCATCTCAGGCATCGTTCGTTTTAATCTTGAACTACTGGGAATATCAGAAGTTGTAGATCTTGATGGTAAAGGACCAGCATTAGCAGCCATGTTTTTGTGGCTGCATTTCTTGGTCTTGAAGCAGTGGCCATGTTTCCTGGCCCAATGAATCTCATTTGCTCCTATTCAAACGAGATTGAAACCATCAAAAAAGAAGAAGGAGACAGACAAGCATATAGACATACAATGAAGATTTTTTTTTTCTATTGTGGCGCAATGAAAGGTTAGTTTAGAGGGAAAAGACATTATTTTGTTTTGTATTTTTTACATAGTGACTTAAAAATTTCAGAGTTGAATATTTTTTTTTATTAATAATTTCTTTTCTTTTTTTTTTGATTCTCACTGATTTAATTTGATGAGTGCAAATTAAAAATATTCTCATCAATCATTGTTGATGAGAATTTTTTAAAAGATCGAATGAATAAACCATCTCAAAATTTTGTCTCGATTAAGATCTAAAAAAATTTAAAAAATAAATTAAAATAATCAAAATCAAACTTAAATAATAATAAAATTACATAAGTTTGATAATTAAAATAGAGAATTAACAGTAATAACAAATAACGAATAACGGTCAATTACTAATAAATATAAGAAATAAGAAATTAATAAAGTAAAACACCATAAACATTACCATATAAATAAATAATAGTTATGATCTATAGTGAAATGCTAAAAATTTAGCATGAATTTCAGTGAAAGAAGAGATATCACTACCTGATCATTTCCAAACATCGTAGTTTTAGTACTTGCAAAATGTGTTGGATTGACCTTGTATGCCCTCTTGAAACTGTCATGACCTTGTTGTAACTGTAGTTGCAAGAATAGTTTAAGTGTAAATGAAAGAAGAACCATATATTAATTATAAAAATCATAAATCAAAAATGAAATTGAGATGGAAAGTGTCTGTAATTGGCGTTTTATGTTTTCTTTTTTTTGTTCTTATGGCCTTTTCCACTTTCTTTTGTTTTTTTTTTTTCACCTTTTCCTTTCATTTTTTTATCCTTAAACTGATTCTCTTACCGTCATTAGTTTTCTAATTAATATTATTGTTAAAATTTTCTCATTGTATTGGAATAATTAGATTAAAGAATTTTAGTTAAAAAAGAGAAAATACCACACGAAAGGTAGTGTAGGAGTCCTGAAAAAACCAATAAGAAAAGTATAAGAGTTAGAATTTCTTCAAATGGGAGCTAAATCCATACATTTAACACTTTTATAAAGCCTCTAATTACAAAAGTACTTAAATTTCTTAATGATTGAATAGTGTAAAAGAAATTTAAGACCTTAAAAATTATATTACCCTCTGTGTAGATATCCTATATAAAGAGGATGGATCTGAACTACCGACAAGGTGGTAGTGATGACACCATTGGTTAGGCATTGGTCTAGAGCTTCCTTGACTGTAAAGTCATTGTAGTTTAGGCATCGGCTTTGAACTCATTTGACCATATTGCCACTGATAGTCACCTTGTGGTATAGAGCAAGAGCTGGATGGACAAGCAAACTGCCATTGGTGTCTTGAGACAGGAGTTGATTTCACTTGATAACCAACAATTGCAACAAATTTTTGTGAATTTAACTGAAGACAAGCAGAAGGTGGGGATGATTGACTCCTTTAGTGGTGACTCAGTGGTTGTTGTCTTTGCAAGTCAAATTCAGTTACCTCTTGTGATGACTCTTCTATCTCCTTCTTTGCATATGTGGTGGTCTCTTCACCTATCTTCATTGTTGATAATATCACCATTTTGTCTTACACCAAGGGCTCTTAAAATGCTATGGAAAAAAAATGGTTCTCAAAATGTTAAATGTTTTTGTAGTGTTTGTGAAGAGATGAGTGATCCATTATATAGGCACTAGAAAAAGAGAGCATTCTAATTCTTGCAGAAACTTTGATTTCATAAGCACCTTAACAAGGCAACCGGGTGGACCCATTTGAACTAGGAAAGGTTTGTAAAAATAAGTAAGTTTTGTCCTTATTTTGTAATTTAGTTGAAAATAAAAATTGAAGATGGGAGAATTCATGTATGTAATCTGGAATTTTTTAAAAGTTAAGAAATTAAGCCATTTTTGTCAATGTAAGTAATTAGGGAAAAATTCAAAAAGGTAACTTCATTAAAAAAAAAGGAGTTGGTAGGAAACAAAAAGGGGGGGTTGGTAGAAAAAAAATACTAAAATTAGTAAAAATGGAGATTTTCATGTAGGATATGAATTTTTTTTTTAAAAGAAAGCCTTTATTTTTTAATGGGATGCTTAGGTGTAAATACGAGTCTTTGGGATTTTTTAATGGATTTTATCCCATTTCTTACTGTTATTACCATATTTAGGCACCCCTTTATATGATATATCTACGTAGATAGGGATACAATTATAAATATCATATGGTAAGTGTATATTACTAGAAAATATATGTTTGTTAATTATATGGAAAATGTGCTCATTTGACTTATCTTCGTAAAAATTAAGAAAAAAATTATCTTAAAATTATGTTGTTTCAATAAACTCTTATTAAAAAAAATTAAAATACCCTATTTTAGTATCATAAATTAGATTGTTTTTAGTTTTTTTTTTTCCATAATACTTTATTAAAATAACACGGTTTTAGAGTAATTTTACTCTTAATTTTTAATAGATAAAGTAGATAAACACTAAGTCTAATTATATTATAAATTGCGAAAGTTTAAATAGTTTTTTTATTGAAAAGTTTTGATTTTCATTTTTTTTTTGTTTAGTTTATTAGCAAAATTTATTGATGGATTTTTATTAGCAAAATTTAATTACATAAGTTATCTTCATAAAATTTTCATTGCAATCCCCTACTATATTAGTACTAATAAAAAGATTTAGCAAATAGATTGGATTCTTCATTTCAAGGGCCAAGAGTTTCTGACAAGTGACACTCGAAGACTAAGAATATGATTGAATTTTTATTTTTATTTTGATTGTACAATAAAAAGTAATAATTTTTTATTTTTTATTCCATTCATCTATATATCATGCGATTCAAATTTAGTGTTTCTTATTTTTAGTAAAAAGAAATTATCATTAAGTTACCTAAATAATTGGTATGATTGAATTTATTCAAACAAAAAGAAAATGTAACAAATTGGTTTCGATGTTCAGTGAAATACAGGTGTTATTTATTCATTCTTTACGTGTCAAATATATACAAAGATTAAATGATTTTATTGATTGCAGTATTTGAATTTGTGTCTTTTGGATCATTGATTTAATTACTCATTGATTTACATTTGCATTCTGAGAGAGAGCTTGCTTTTAAGTTATACCGTGTATATTAGGAATAATTTAATTTTTTTAAAATAGTAATTTCATTCAAGTCTCAAAATGTCTTTTTTTTTTTTCTTTTCTTCTATTATTTAAATACTAATTGTAATATTGAAGAGCTAATATGTAGCAAACGAATGTAACAGAGGAAAAAGATTGAATTTATTAAGACAAAATAAAAGGTGCTAGCCACAACAAACAAAATGAAATGCACATGCGTTAAAAGGGATAACAGAGGGCTTTTAATGGGTGATTCAACTAGTTAAGAATTTGACATTTTAAATTAAAAATTTTTAATTCAAATCTTAAGTCTGATAAAGAAAGATTTGAGAAAAAAAAAACTATATTTTTTTGTGTGTAATTTATTATGAAATGCATTAAATATATATATATATATATGTGGTTGTTCAATGCGGCTATTGAACTAACTGGGCATCAAGGCCCAAAAAGCCAATTGGGCTTTAATAGCAAAATGTAACTAGTTTTATTTTGTTTGAATGAGATTATGAGGGTACTACTCTAATTGGATTGGCCCGTCAGATTCCAAGATCGCTGCAAAACCGCAAGAGGGAAAGTATACTCAAGGTCTTGAGACGAGGAAAGTGAAAA